TGTGAGCAACAGCACATTTAAATCTTACAAATATAGTTATTTGGCTGATATCGTGATGGATATCGTTATCGCCTGAAATGAAAAAAACATATCGTGATATGAAAAAATCTCATATCGCCCAGCTCTATTGGTCGAATGCCAAATTCAAAAATATTGTCAAAGAAATGCTGCTGGGTCATCACGGTCAGGTCACTGTCACAGCTGGGAAGGCTGGTGCTTGGTGTGGGTCCAAATGCAGACACTTGAAGGCGTGGTGTGTTAGACAAAAGACGCGTCGCTTATTGTGACTGAATAAAAAAAAACACGTACCAAGCACTCAAAACAAAAGGAAGAAGGAAACTAGAACAATACTGATGATAACTAAACTGGCAGGAACTAAATTACTACACGCGGAAGACAAAGAACATGGAAACCTAGACGTGACAATCAACAACCTGGAAATATGGAAAACATGGAAAGAGGCACCAGCCTTGCTGCTCAGAGCCATGTTAGCCAGCCAAATGAAGCAGTCGCAGCACAGACAGGATCCGGATTCATCCGCTCAGTATTGAACCCAGACGGGCACAAATTACACCCCATCCAGTGTGAGCCCATTTTTTAAAGGCTTCCACATGTTTGTGAGTAAAACGGGGATAAAACAGTGCCGACCTTCTTCTTTCAGATTTGCATTGGCATCTTCCAACAGGCCTTAGACAGGAAAGGACCAGCAGAGGATGCGGAAATTGATTTATAGATATAGCTGCCGGTGACGGTCCGTCCCTGGCATGGTCACGGAAACGTAGTTCTTTGAGCAGATGCGACGAGCATGATTTTGCGGGTTCATTACCAAAGCAATTTTCCAAAAACCACCAGATTTATTTATGTGTTCATCTTCAAACATGGAAATATAAATCAGAACAAAACACACCAAACTTCAGGAGGTAGACAGATCCACTCCCTCACATTATAAAGGCAGAGCAGGTGAAATCTGCATCAGTGACACTAATTATATTTTTTATTAATTTATTTATATTTTTATTCCTCCACAGTTGGTGCAGCATCCACAATTTCACTGTACATGACCAATGACAATAAAAGGCTGTTCTGTTCCATTTTATTCTATACTTAATATAATAATAACAATAATAAGAAACTAAGTTACTTTATGAGTTACAAATATGTTTTTGTAGTCTGTTGCTTTTTATTACTTGAAAGTTTTAGGAATAAAGATTTGAACTAAAGAAGTAAATGTCAGGACGAGTCCTGCTCCGTCTCATCACCTGACCGTTTAAAATCAGAAGCCTTTGCACTTTACTCACTGGGTTCCTACTAGGATGATATTATTGTCAAGTGCTGTTGGCAAAGTATTAATATTTTAAACAAAAAAAACAGGACTTAAAAAAATAATAATTTCAAATTCCATATGTTTACATTTTTGTGGCAAACCAGCAATTTCACCCCCCCCCCCAAACTCAAAACCTTTAGATATTTGTTCCGATATGTCTCCACTGAGGGATTATTTAATACTAAAATACATCCGACAGTGAGCTTAAAACACTTCTTAGTCTTATTTCTTGGTTTCCTACCTCCACGCTGCCCTCGGGGAAGCCAAACCTCTTCTGGACCACAGCGGTCAGCTCTCTGATCCGACGACCCTTCTCTCCAAGAACATTCTGGGTCCTAAAGACGGTGAGATGATTAGAGTTAAACCACATGGGTAAAAATAACAAAACACCGGCACAAAGCTGAGACAACATAGAGCTACACAGCTGAAGTATTTATCTCTTTAGATAAGCACACCGAGTTTACATGGAAGGAAGATGAGCTATATAAACAAAACTGACACTGGATGTAATTTTACCAGTGATCTTAATGCATATTTAAAAACCAACATTTACCAAAGGGAAATGATCAGGACTGACTTCTAGGATGTCTTTTAATGTAAGCTTTTATTTTCTCAAGCTTAAAATATGTTTGTCTTTAAAAATGGCCAAAAATAGCAAATGCTCAGACCACTGTTAACACACTCTGTGTCTTACAAATGGACCAACAGTGTTTACATGCATATGTGCACTGCCAAAGTAATGGCATATCCACTTTACAGTAGAGACTCATTTTAAGCTTCTATACTTGTTTAGTTTCTAAACTCAAAATCTTCTGGAGCGGTAACAACTTCTTGGATTTGGACTCATCACCCCTTTCCCATTAGCAGTTTGCAGGGTTTTCCATTAGGTTCATAGTACCTCTTACTTTTTTAGTACCTACTCGGCCAGGGTTCCAAACAGGTACTAAAATGTGACATGCTATGACAGCAAGCAAGCATACAAGGTACGAAAAACCAACCAACAAACAGTCGATCGGTGGCGAGTCGACCCGAGTAGCTACTAATGAAAAAGGGGCGATGGGCAAGCAACCTAGCCGTGGATCTGAACCAGCGACCAGCAGAGCCAGACTGAGTCCTGCTCCGTCTCATCACTGGAGGAACACCTGACCATTTAAAATCAGAAGCCTTTGCACTTTACTCACTGAGTTCCTACTAGCCGACTGCTCACCTTGTGGCCAGGATGATGATCTCAGTCCTGGTTGGAGTCACGCGCACCTCCACACCGGAGTAACCATCCTCGGCAAGCTCACGAGTCAGGAACTCATTCAGCTCGGCCTTGAAGATACCGTCTGCGACGAACTGTGGACAGAGAACAGTTAAGCTTTATATTTATGAAACACTCAAACATCCAGCACCAAGCAGACTTTCTGCCAGCATCTACAGGCTGCACAGACTCACACACCAACTGCCAATGCATCCTTCAAGTACTGCAACAGGTACAACACCGATGCATCTGCTGTGGCCCCGAAACACACAGATAATAATATACAGAAAATTAATGAATGGGTTTGACCCTTTAAAACAGGCTAACTTGAAGCTAACACACTTATTTAAAACATGTAAAGGATAATTTGAAGTTCCTAACTACCCATGATGGCATTCAAACCACAGCAGGATTCACTTCTACAGAGAGCAGTCACATTCAGAGTGAGTGCTGAAGACAAAACGAGCAGAATCTCATCGCGCTGCAGTTTTTAAACAGGCTGTATTTGTATCATCGCTTACTTCAGCTTGCCTGGCATCAGTGCTTAAACGCAGGCTGCCACATGTCGCATGCTTTACTGTGAAATTCCTCCCAATTCAAAATTAATGTCCTTGAACGATTCACTAAAATGAACCCCGTGCTGACTCCACATTTAACCCGAACAGTTCTAACTGCACATACGTCTCATTAACCACATTTCTCAGTGAATTAGTAGCATTAAGGAGGCAGTTTGTGTCTCTGGCTCTATATTAATACGGCTGCGACGCTAACACCTCCGAAAACCTGGACTCAGACACAAACAACCTTTGAATGAGAGTTCAGCTAAGTCTTTTCGCATATTAGGATTTAAAGCGGGCATTAAAGTCGTGTTTAAGTCAGACACTTCAACCAGTGTGTAACTGTGCCCGGCCTCGGTGCTCAGAGCCATGTTAGCTAGCCAAATGAGGAGGTCACAGCGCAGATAGCATCTGGATTCATCCGCTCAGGATTCAACCCAAGCGGGCACATCTGATACCAGGACGGCCACCAAATGACCATATCAAATCCAGCGTGAGTCCATTTTTAAAGAAATGCAACGTGTTTGTGAGCAAAACGGGGGCTAACCTTCCTCTTCTTGGAGATTTGCACCGCCATCTTCCAATGGGCCGTAGACAGGAAAGGACCCGCACAGGATGCGGAAATGGATTTATAGCTAAAAGCTGACTTCCGGTGACGGTCCGTCCCTGGCATGCTCAGGGAAATGTAGTTCTTTGAGCAGATGCGATGAGCATGAGTTTGTATGTTTCTTATGTTTATTACCAAAGGAAATTACACGGCGATATAAATCGGGTCGACGGCACTGATGGAACACTTATAAAGGCCGACAGCGAGGGCGGCCACGTGATCTTAAAATACGAATTATTTGTATGTTTTTGTTTCCTACCACCACGCTGTCTTCGGGGAACCTCCTCTTGACCTCAGCGATCAGCTGTCTGATCCGACTACCCTTGTCTCCAAGAACAGTCTTCATCCTAAAGATGGTGAGACGGTTAGGCTTAAACTGCATGGTTATAAAAAAAAAAAGACAACATATTTTTAATCTTTCCACACACAGACACAAAGCTGAGAAAACATAGAGCTACACAGTTGAAGTTTCTCTTAAACTAACATTGGCATCAAAGGGAAATGATCAGGACTGATTTCTAGGATGCCCTTTAATGTAAGCTTTCTTTTGTCAAGCTTAAAATATGTTTGTCTTTAAAAATGGCCAAAAATAACAAATGCACAGACCACTGTTAACACACACTCTGTGTCTTACAAATGGACCAACAGTGTTTACATGCGTACTCGCCCTGCCAAAGTAATGCCATATCCACTTTACAGCAGAGACTCATTGTAAGCTTCCATACTTGTTTAGTTTCTAAACACTCAATCCGATCTTCTGGAGATGTAACAACTTCTTCAATTCTGAGTTGTTACTTTTTGGCAACCTAGCCGACTGCTCACCTTCTGGCGAGGATGATGATCTCAGTCCCGATTAAAGTCACACGCACCTCCACACCGGCATGACCATCCTTAGAAAGCTCATGAGTCAGGAACTCTTTTAGCTCAGCCCCTTTAATACCGTCTGCGACGAACTGCAGAGAGAGAGAGCAGGTCAGCTTTATGTTTATGTCACACGTTCAAACATCCAGCACCAAGCAGACTTTCTGCAAGCATCTACAGGCTGCACTGACTCAGACACCAACTGCCAATGCGTCCTCCCAAGTGCTGCAACAAGTACTACACACTGATAAATCTGCTGTGGCCCTGAAACCACACAGATTATAAAATACAGCTACAGAAAATTAATGAATGAGTTCGACACTTTTAGCGGGCTAACTCACTGCTCACGCTTATTTAAAGGATAATTCAAAGTTCTTAACTGGCTGAGATACACTGCATTCAAACCACAGCAGGATTCACTTCTACAGAGAGCACAGTCACATTCAGAGTGAGTGCTGAAGACAAAACGAGCAGAATCTCATAGCGCTGCAGTTTTTAAACAGGCTGTATTTGTATCATCGCTTACTTCAGCTTGCCCGGCTTCAATGCTTAAACGCAGGCTGTTTGATGCCACGTCTTACTGTGAAATTCCTCCCAACTCAAAATTATTATTCCCTTGAACCATTCACTGAAATGAACCCCGTGCTGACTCCACGTTTAACCCGAACAGTTCTAACTGTACATACATCTCATTAACCACATTTCTCAGTGAATTAGTAGCATTAAGGAGGCAGTTTGTGTCTCTGGTTCTTTATTAATATGGCTGTGAAGCTAACGCCTCCGAAAACCTGCATTAGGACAAAAACAGACTTTTAAAAAAAGTCCAGCCACATCTTTTCACATGTTAGAAAATAAACCGGGCATTAAAGTCGAGTTTAAGCCCAAGACTTGGACTGGTCTGTAACTGTGTCCGGCCTCGGTGCTCAGAGCCATGTTAGCTAGCCAAACGAGGAGGTCGCAGCGCAGACGGCATCTGGAATAATCCGCTCAGGATTCAACCCGGGCAGCACATCTGATACCGGGACAACCACAAAATGTTCATACCTCATCCACCGTGCAGAATTTTAAAAGAAATTACGACATGTTTGTGAGTACAACAAAGATAAAACGGGGGCTAACCTTCGTCTTCTTGGAGATTTGCACCGCCATCTTCCAATGGGCCGTAGACAGGAAAGGACCCGGGGAATACGCGGAAATTCATTTATAGCGAAAGGCTGGCTTCCGGTGACGTCAGATCCCTGGCGTGCTTACGGAAATGTAGTTCTTTGAGCAGATGCGAGGGGCATGAATTTGCACATTTATTACCAAAGCAATTTCCCACAAACAAGAAGGGTTTGTTGATTTAATTTTAAGCACAGATATATAAAGGAACTAAACTAAGAACTAAACACACTGAATATGGCTAAGGATTCAGAAGAATCAAGGTCATTGATTTCTGTAACCGAAATCGATTCCTATTCACATGGTCCTAATGTGATTCATTCCCTGATTAGATTAAATTCAATTGTGACTCAGTCAGAAATATTATAATTCAGACCATTTATCATTACATGTACTTAAATCTCTGTACAATAACAAAGCTGTCACTTGTGAGACTTCATCAGAGGTGTAAGCATCACAGCAGATGTCTTTGTGTCAAATTAACTGAGGATAAAACAGAAAAACAGAAAAACATGAAGGAGATGTTCCTGGCCTGATTTTTCATAGCAGATGACTCCCTTTAAAATATTCTGCAGTAGATTTAAAAACAAAGAAAACCATCAATCAACATCTGAACATTACCTGATGTTGCTGAAGTTAAGCAAAGTTACACAGGTTTTATTACAGACACAGCTTGGAGTTTTGTAATTTGGCATAATTTAAAAAGTTTACATTTCTTTGTTTTTTAACAGCAAAAATTAGTCTTTCTTGTCGGAGGTCATTTTTGGGAAAATAAAAGAAATAAGAAAAAAAACTGGGTGACAACACTGTACACAATGGTAGACTGGTGCGTAATAAGCAAGCGAATAATGCAGAAAACTAAGATTTGTGATGGGAAACTGGTCTTTAAGCACACTGAGAGAGAGAGCTGTGCAGGAAGTGTGATTTTTATTGTAGAGGAAGCAAAAATGCAAAAGTAAGAGAGAATCCATGATGATGCTTTTTAAATGTGCAGCTTCAGAATCTGTGAAATGTCGGCTACCAGCACCCAACGGCATGTATACGAGAGAGATTCTGGTGTTTCTGGCAAAATACATTTATACTTAAAAATCGATTCAGGATTGAATGAATCAATATCGCATTATTCAAACCAAAATTTATTGAATCGGAAAATACATTTTTTCAAACCCACCCCTAACACTGAACTTCATGAGGCAGATGGACCATAAGAAAACAAAAATTGGACCACAAAGTCACAAGGGTCTAAAACAAATACAGTTCAGGGGGTCAACCAGGAGGTTGAAGGCACTGGCAAAACAGTTCTGGGGGCCGACTGTGAGGTCAGTGTCGGTGGCGAGGCTTGGCAGGTGTGGGCTTGGCCAGTGGCAGCCCTTGGCGTGGCTTGGTAGGTGCGGGCTTCGCTGGTGGCAGCCATCGGCATGGCTTGGCAGGTGCGGGCCTAGCCAGTGGCAGCCGGCGGCATGGCTTGGCAGTTGGCGGACATGCAGGCCGTGGGCTTGGCTGGTCCCGAAGGCATGAAGTCCCCTGCCTGAGACGTGGCTGGATGAGACGATATCCTTTGGCCCTCCCAGCCGCAGGGGGCTGGTCAGGCTCACCTGAGCGTTAAACAAAAGGCAAGCCGTTTATTGTGGCTGAATAAAAAAACATACCAAACATGCAAAACAAAGGGCAGAAGGAAACTAAGACAACACTAGTGATAACTAAATTTGGAGAAACTAAATTACTAAACACGGTAGAGAAAGAACATGGAAACTTAAACATGACAAACCCTGAACCTGGAATCTCAAAATATGGAAAACATGAAGCTTTTCGGAAACACAAAGCATTTCAGAAAAGCTTCATCTATTTTCTCACTCAAACATCGTGTGAACTGAACCTGAAATAATCCATTCCTCTGCAGATGATTGGTTAGCTCTTTGACAACTACTCTTTCAAGAGTTTATGAGATGAAAGGAAGGTTGGAGACTGGCCTGTAATTAGCTAGTGATCTGTGCTAAGGCATTTTTAATGTTTGTTATTTTTTAGGCCTCAGTTATTTAGCAAGACAGGGGCTTGTTTAACATGTGTCTTTGGCCATTTCACTGGGGCCACATGGTTTTGTGAATAAATCTGCTGAGATCTAGATCCATTGCATGTGGGGAAACTGATTGTCATGGCAAGTATAGTAAGTGGTTTAGATTCACAACCATTTTAAATTGTTTATCAGAAGTGATGCTTCTTTTTGCAGAGATAATTAAAAAATTGTCAGTCTTCTGCTAGTCCTTCTCTGATGTTAAACAATGTAATGTCACAAAGAGAAAGTCCACAATTAAGGCTTTAATTGCAGCAAATTTTATTAAAGCAATTGAGCAGGAGAAAAGCAAAAGCAGAATTAAACAAGCCACTCAATAATAATAAAATCACATCAATTATACTTATCTACTTAACCTTTTTACTGTGATATATAATATATAATATAATATAGAAAATCGTTTTTTTTTTTTTTTACTTTTTCCACATTTTTACATAACACATCATCATTTTCTCAATACAACTTTTTCATTAAATCATAGATTTTTAAAGTCAGAGTGCACACACGCCGTTTCTACACTTCACTGGAAGGGCTGTTGTTAGAATCCCTATTATATTTTCAAACTCCCATCCTTTTTAATTAAGCTTACACATAATTACATTTTCCAGATTATATTCTGATCAATATTAAGCATAATTATCTGTCAGTTCAATCTCAAAAGAACTACAATTCTGTGTTTATTTGTGGCAACACAATGATGATGATGATAATGGGTCAGTGAAACAACTCTTATCTTTTCAGTCACACCCAGGCATGAATATGAAAGATTGAAGCTGGATTGTGTCTCGGGACGCAGAATCTAGACATTAGAACAGATTTTCTCTCTACTCAACATATTCATCAGACTTTGATTCTATCTTTGATCCTATAAATCAAATGTAAGACTGGATGTTGAGCCCTTTTCTTCACTTCTGGTTGGAACTGAGCAAAGGCAATTCTCTACGGCAGATTAAATAAAGAGTTGTCAAACTTCAACCTTAAAGTAAAGGACCTTTTAACATTAAACAAAAAGTAAAGGTAAAGTATTTCTGAAAAATGTACAAGTTTGTAGAAAACATTTACTCTCATTTTCCAGCTACAATCACAGTAACAATCAGATGTTTCAGTCTTGTTCTTTCAGCATCATTTTATGGAAGGTGGTCCTCATTACCTTTCTGCTCAGGGAAAGTTAAACCTGCAGCAGCTTCAAGGTAAAAGTTAAAGAAATAGTATAGGGGCTGCAGCTGACAGAAAAAACCCCCACTCACCACTTTTTTTGTTCATGTCCAGGGTCAACAAGACACATCTGAGCTCCAAACCAGCAGAACTGGTGCTGGGCCACAATCAGAGGCCTCATGCTCTGAAGAACTTCAGTTTGTTGAAGTATCTCTTTGTCATTGCCATCGTCTTGCTGCTCTCGATCCACAGGTGGGTGAAATGACTGAAATGACTTCATTATGATCCCCTTCAACAGGACACCGAGTCAAATACCCTGAAACACATTAAACGAACAGCAGGTTTGGAAAGATGAGGCTCAGAGACGGAGGATGCACACCTTACTGGAAATAATTTTTGTCACATTAACAGCAAGGATGAAAATCAGCACCAGTGACTTCAGTCACATATATCAGAACCCGTTCTTGTTCTGTTACTTTTTTGTAGAATAGCATACTAAAAGATTGTGTGATTTGGCTTTTATAATGCCTCAAGATAGATTTTAGGATTGTTCAAGTGAGGGTTCTTCCAAGTAAAGTAAAGTCACCTGGGAAAATAACCTCCTCTCTCTAAGACTGTAGTGTCTTTACTTTGCACTGGAGAGTAGATAATGGACAAAATGATTAGATACAGCAGAAAGGTGGAGCATGTAAAATCAGGTGTTTCTGTTGGATGAGAGACTGACATTAGT